GCCTAACAACTGAAAACTTTATTTCAAGAACACAATAACGTGAAAGCAATAATGAATAACGAATCAGAAAACAAAAAGTAACAATATTGAAAACAGAAGAGTATCAACACTGCGCAGAAGCTTTAAAAAAGAATATTAAAAAAACTCATAGCGTATCACTTAACGACACATCTGCTGAGATTTTTTTTCCCGTGAGATGCATCGATGCGTAACTGACGCATGCTTCTATCTTTTTCCTTAGTGATGTCAAACCTATGTTTCGACAAATCCGCGGTATTGTGTTTAGAATGTGCGTTATAATCTAGATAGCGCTAGGCATACGCAGATACAGGCCCCTTACCATGTTATCTGACATCGTTGTATACTAACCATCACGCACTAAGAATAAACAGAGTTGTTTGAAGTACTGAGTCAGCGTAGTCACTTCGCGCTCCTGCGGCTCTCCGACGTAGTTCGGCAGGGCACGGCGGCGGATACAACATATTGGCATTTTCTTTATTACTCTCACGTTTTTGTGTAAATGAATACGTCTGCTGGTACTAACCACAGAGCCTGAGAATAAGAACACAAAGATAGGGTGGAGCACGCGTGGCTAACAATCTCATATTGTAAGATATTTAGCGCAACCTCGACTTTCTCAAACACTCACACAATCACTCGCACAACCACCCGAGTAACACACACAGATTACAGCGCTCAATACCAACTGTTCATTGCACCGAAACGACCTTCTATATACGTACAACAAAGCTGCGCAAAGCTAACAAAGAACAAAGCTGTGCAAGTGGAAAGCCTTTAAGAATAGCGCAACTGCAGCCGCGTCAGGCAATCGCGATGAATATAGCACCACCACCACACACACCCACACACAATAGGAACAAGTAAGACAAAATACGAAAAGCAGAAAACACCAGCTAGAAGCACTAAATCCTTGCATCGAGAAAAGATATTTCCTGTTTATGTATCACCAAAGACGGCTCGCTAACACATATGTCCTCATTTTTGTCTATAAAATACGCTTCCAACAGCGAACGTGCAGATAAATTGAATCTTCTTCCGAGAACCTGCGTGTATGTGAATCGTGGTTCACACCCACATGCGGCGGTATGTGGCGCAAGATGTACGTACTTATCCTCGTTTCTCTTAATTTTTAGCGCATGCTCCCTAAGCCGGTCATTTAGGCATCTCTCGGTTATGCCGATGTACACGTTTCCACAGGATAAAGGAATCGAGTATACAACTCCCATGGAACATTTGACGAAGGCTTTCTCATGTTTTTTTCCGGCAACCGTGTCTCTTGCCATTGCAAATGCGCAAACACAACATTCTCAATTATTGATAATGATATGCAGGGTTTACCATCCCAAAACGTTACGGTGTTTCCCGAAAGACACCGTAGTGGAGGGCTCCGGAAGTTTCGACCCCCTTGGGTTCTTTAACGTGCATCCGAAACTGAGCACACAGGCCTACAGCATTTAATTCTCCATTAATTAATGGTGGCTTACCACTAACCTTCCAGAGCAATCTATACATAAAAGCTGCATCTTGCCGGTACTTACCTCAGAAACCTCGTAGCTTACAAAGGGGGTTCTGTGTAAATTAAGGACGACGCAGTGAGCGATGGAAAGGAAAATGATAGGTGTACCTTTTAAGAGACAAGGAGCTAGCAGAGTGGATCAGGCAACAAACAGGGGTTTAGGATATCATAGGTGAAATGAGGAAGAATAAATTGACATAGGTCGTGCACGTGGCGCGTAGGCAGGATAACCACTTTTCATTAAGGGGAAAAAGAAAGAGAGCGATTGAGGAAAGGAAAAGACCCAACTTCTGCAGCCCTAGTTGAGACCAAGGCTTGGCGCCAGTAAGAAAATGGGGTGAGGGTAACTGACTGGATTCCCAGAGAAGGCAAAACGTGCGTGTGGGGACCGAAAGTTAGGTGCGTCGATGAGATTAACAAGTTTGCAGATATGACGTGGCAGCAGAAAGCACAAGACTGTTTTTATTGGCGGAACATAAGAAAGTCATTTGCCCTGCAATGGGCGGAGTAAGGCTGATGATGATAATGGTGACTCTGGATCTCGTTCTACCACTGATAGATCGTTATCACTGCCATCACTTCACTGCCGACAAAATCGCGCTGACCTGTTATTTTTTTACAAGCAAGTTCACGGTATGATATCTTTACTTAGCAGTTGAAGTAATTTTCAAATTTCACGTTAGTTAACCAGAAGGAACCGACCATTTGATGTACCTGCCAGTTACTTCCAACGCTCTACCATTCACAGAATACAAAGTCTCTTTAATAATAACTCTCTCGATCTTGACGTTTGTCATACTCCAGAAATATTGTTATATCTCAGCTTTGCGCTGTCTCGACATATTTTGCACAATGAACAGATTTTTTTATTTACCTTTGCTCGGGAAGCCTTCCACATAGTTGTGAATATTCCACATTATTTACTCTTAATGCGTAACTCTCGCCTTGTCTTTTAATTCTTTCCATTTTGCATTGATTTCTTTTTGTCAGTGCGTTTTCACTCTCTTGATTTGATTTACTTTTCTGAAGCAGTCTGTGTTGAACTTGTCATTTTTATTGTTTTATTTTTGCATGCGCCTGCACATGGTTGTTTCTGGGCACGTTGAGTAAGTTATAGACAGAGCTATTATTATTATTATTATTATTATTATTATTATTATTATTATTATTATTATTATTATTATTATTATTATTATTATTATTATTATTATTATTATTATTATTATTATTATTATTATTATTATAGCCAAGCTTCACATAAAGGCCCGCGTATCTTCTCGCGCAACATTTTGCGCAGCTAGGTTCTTTTGTACTGGAGTGCCATTCCAAGCCGCAGCATTTTTGTGGGGGCAAAATGCGCTGGCACTCAAGCATGCCACGTCACATGTACGTAATCAGAGAACAGTGTTCCACTACGGCCTGCCTCCTAATCTTATGTGGTGATCGTGAATACCGCGAATTTATTCTACTTTTTTTTCACTAATTCAAGTTTCAAGAATGCACCCTCTTTCCTGCCTGCCACCACTAAACAATCAAGGTAACTATTTCCACTGCTTAGCGTTTACCTCCTAATAAATTATGACGTCCCGAAACCGCGATGTAATTGTGAGAGACGTCGTGGTGGATGGCTCCGGGAATTTCAACCACCAGGGGTTCTCTAACATCCACCTGAATTTAAGTACACGGGCTTCGGTAATTTTCACCTCCAACGAAAATCCGGCCGCCATGGCCGGGATTCGGTAGCGCCACGTGTCGAGCATCAGAAGATCACTGCTGCGGGTTAGAGTTGAAGACGAGGACGCCATCTTCTTGTCGCTGTCCTCGGAAGTCTTTGCCCTAAACACCACGGATATCTCTTATCAACTGAGTAAGATATCACCCCTCTCATTATCTTCTATTCTATAGCGCCGTGAAAATCAGGAAATGGTTCCCACGCGTTCGCGATAGCGCGTGCCTCAAACTCAAACTTTATTTATTTACCCGACAAAAACTGGAAGGTCTTCAAGGCTAAAAGCCACGAGAACGGCTTGACAAAGACCCTGGTGACCTGTACCTACACATGGCAGTAGTGGGGAAATGATTAGAGGTAAATAACTTGCAAGTGCTAATATAAAACATGAACAATACATAATAACTCAAAAAATGATCTCATAATTGATGATTTTAAATTACGTGTTATAAATGTGCATTAAAAAGAAGTTTCCAGGAATCAAAGTACATCGTGCATATAGACAATCGTATACATTGACACTTATGCACTTTAAAGCACACATATATACATTTCGTGAAACACAAAGTTCATACATAAGCAAGATAACAAGACGTAGCATGATACAATGTATTTAACACAAGACTTAACTATGAAAAATACGAGACTATGAGAAAAGATTTGTGCACATGTTTCTATGACGCCAGAGAGCAGAAATGAGAGAGTAATTGTTTCTTGTTGCAGGTGATCGTACTTTCGTGCATATTAAGTGTTTTGGGGACGTTGTAGGCCAAGGCTTGGTATTTATACGGAGTGCGGAAACACGGTACACACCAAATGTCTGTATTTATTGTGGGAACTGAAATGACACGACACTCGAGACATGAAAGCGATTTAATGAGGCTGGAGAGCTTCCTATTCGAGAAATAAAGTGTGTGCAATGAGCGAAATGTGTAAAGGTTGTCAGCTCGTTTTATATTGAATTCTTTGAAAGCTTCACGCGTCATTCCGAACGAGTCAATAATTTCAATTGGGTGGACTATCTTTTTTTTTTGCAGAGTAATGACCTTATTTATGTTTGCTTTGCTTGACGTGGCCCATACAAGAGTACAATACATTAGATGTGAACTAAACAGCGCGTATTATATCCGAAGTTTGACCTTGAGAGGCAAACTGTTACGACAACGAGACATCACTCCTGTTACCGAAAAAAAGCTTTTTACAAAAAAAATACATGTGTTTCCTAGCCAAGGTTGAAAAAAAAAGAACTCCGAGTATTTTGTGGGTATTAACAATATCTATCGGCACTGATTCAAGAACTATCGGTTGATGGGTAGTGAGTACTTTATTTTTGGCACGAAAAACAAAGGCTTTGGTTTTATTTGGAATAATTTTAAGCCGGTTCGCTCTAGCCCACGATGAAATCCTTGATCGTATATCATTTGTTTTACTTATACTATCATCTAATTTACCGCCATCAAGGATTGTTGTTGAATTATCCGCATTTATCACGTATTTAACTGTGGTGGCCCTCCCTTAATCCACCCCGATGCACGAGCGAGCTCAGCATAGCAAAACGCCTTCGGACACCGAGGTAAAGAAAGCGGCACCGGCATTGGAACTTGCTCGCGTGGAGCTTCAGTACATTTGGACTTTGCGACGGCAAGGTGCGCATCTTTCCGCCACCCGTACTCCACCGCTGCAGTATTGTGACCCATGTGCTCTCGCTATAGGAGCGCCGAAATAAACACTCACCTTGGCTGGACGGACTCCGTCAGGAACGACCTTGCACAGCGCCCCCGTCGAGTCAGACGAGGAAAAAAAGAAGGCCGGCTGCAGCGGGCACGATTAGGGGAAAGTCGTTGGTGCAACCTCCTCCGCCGGGCGCCTGTCCCGAGCAGCGCCTCTACGACTCGATTGTGACGGCGCGTCTTGCCGATCACGCTGCTGATCCTTGAATGAGAGCAACAGAACATGCACAGCGAAAAGCTCACTAGGTGGTATGCATCCATCGTGAAGACTTTCCCTCCCAGTTCTGTGCGTGGTTTTGCATTGCCTCCATGATATGTCCACTTTTGACCAAGCCACTGTGGTGATGGCATTTCGTGACGTCACGTGGTGATGCCATGTCGCGATGGTGGTGCTTTCGCGTCACTCGTCCCCCACGGCGCAGAACGGCAACGGTCAGGTTTAGTGCTCGATTATTTCTAAATATTCCCGCGCCTTAATAACCACGCTTAATAATCACCTAGAGAGTATGCCAAGGTTCCCTCGCATAAAGGCATTCTCGCATACTGGCTGAAGGCACTTCGTAGGTTGCGTTAGTGGACCAACCGCAGGAAATGACAAGACAGACGATCAGTTTACAACCACAGCCTATTAAAAATCATTCTCGCACGACAGCTTTCGATCACTAGAGAGAAATGGCCAATATGAAGGTTACTTTTACGAACTGGTTATGTAGCACCCTTCAACTAATCAAAAATCTATTTTTTATGGGTCAACACTACAGTGGAAACACCGGTGCGAGCGGTTGAATTCGCTTTAATCTGCTCAGCGATTTCCCTGGTCAGTTAGTATTTGTAAACAAAATTAGTGCTCGTAAACTGTGGTGTGCATCCGCAATCTTCGCAGTGCAAAGGCAGGTCCGTCCCACCTGCGAAAGTCTTCATTGACGATGCATGTTCTGTGAGTCTGTCATTTAGACATCGGCCCATCTGGCCGATTTGCCCTCTCCTACAGCCAAACTAGTGTGACCTCAATCCACAGATTTCAAAGCGGGCCGGGGGGGGGGGGGGAGTAGGCTTGTCGAATGATTAAAGGAAGAACTTCAGATCTAACACACAATCATAGCAAGTAAAGTATAGGGCATTGTGTTGGAGGTAATTGTAAAATAAATTTGGAGAAAGAAAAATTGGCAAATCCCACGTATAGTGAGAATCGATGATATTCGGAGCACGAAGGAGGAAGGTTGTTATGTCACTTTAAAATCGGCACGTTACGAGGCGGACGTAAATATCCCACAGATGGCTTCCATGTCATGATTATCATGTTTTAAAGACGATAGTCTTTCTTCGGGACCTTCGACGGAAAATTTTTTGTCTGGCTGCCTGCCTGCCTGCCTGCCTGCCTGCCTGCCTGCCTGCCTGTCTGCCTGCCTGCCTGCCTGCCTGTCTGCCTGTCTGTCTGTCTGTCTGTCTGTCTGTCTGTCTGTCTGTACATTTGTCTGTTTGTCTCCCCTAACGATACTTCAAACGGCGCCAAACGGCCAACCCCCTCCGCAGCGCCCACCAATATTGCTGAAAGTGTAGCTTTCATAGTTGTGTGATTGTCAATAAAAAAAGCAAATATTGTGCATATATAAGGCGCCATAACAACACGTCTATGTTTTGTATGTCTGCCTTCATACTACAAGAGGCACACACAAGTAACTCTAAGGACTGTAGCGTTTAACGCGTTGCGCTGACAGTGCAACGCGGTGCTCAAGAAGGTGTTTCCAACGCTTTGCTACGACGGCAAGGTGGTGGCGCCTGCAAGTCGCTTTGCATTCTACACCTTACGACCTCCGAGACTGGCGCGCATCTTTCTCCGCGGCCGCGCACGCCTTCGTTTTCGAAGATAACTGCCAGATGGCGCTCGTGTCTAACGTGCCTAGATGCGCTTGTTTGTCTCCGTTACACGCTCGAGGCACTCTAACGTAGCGCCTTCAGAATACCATTCATCGATTTTCTAGCGAGAACATCAAATAAACGTTTTATTCACTCTCTCCAAACGCAAGACTATCGTCTTTCGACGACATTTACAGTGTAAAATGCATATTCGGGCCAATTTTTTTTTTTACATTCGTCGTCTACTCACGTCACGTGATACCGAATTTGGTATATGTGGAGCTAGCGAAACGGCCGCGAGCACGCTTTGCAGTGGCGTAGCCAAGGGGGGGAGGGGGGTGTCACTTTTCTCACAAAATTTCCCTCCGGGAACCCCCCCCCCCCCCCACCGCGCCATTTATTCACCTTTTTTTTTCGTTGCTTCGCGCTGATCTCATTTTGCAACTAAGCGGTGCTACCATCACAATATACAACCTGGCCGCTTTTGCACTGAATGATGTCTGCACACGGGAAAACGTGTCGCGGCGTTTTCCAAAGCATTGCACTTTGAGAATTACGGGCAGGAATGTCTGCCGCGAGCGTTGTAAGTTGGCTCGGCAACGGGATTAATTCCATAGCGGTGGTCATGCATGTACCCACCGGAACAGATCTCGTCGTAGTCGATCACTACGATAATTTTCACTAAGCAGAGGCTCTTTTTATTGGTAAAAGCCAGAAACAGTCCCTATAGGTCTGACAAGGCATGTTCAAGCATATTACAGTGTGGCTATTCGTACCTGTGCTATGATATACTCATGCCACACAATAACATTTCAATTAAACATTCGCACGTTCCGCTAACATCTCAACACACACATACGCGCGCACGTGACAGAATATTTGGATCATCCACTGAACTTCGCTTGCATGTAAGTGCACAATATATTGATACACATCTTTACTATGTCCTAACGGCTCAAGGCACTCCGAAGTGTCTAATGACGAAGGTGCCACGCAGGCCAGCGTGCACGCCAACGAAAACCTTAGAAAATCCTACTAAAATGACGTTGATGTGTGGAGTTTAAAGTCCGAAAACCACCATATGATTATGATAGACGCCGTAGTGGAGGGCTTCGGAAATTTCGACCACCTGGTATTCTTTGACGTGCGCTCAAATCTGAGAACACAGGCCTACAGCATTTTCGCCTCGGCTTTTATGGCGTGATTAAGAAACGTCGTCTAGTCTTTTCATCCTGCAACTTCTGGCGTCTTGGCCCATTGAACACGTAAATACCAATGTCGTTATCAGAAATCGCGGTTACCGTGCATGCATCATGCTCTGATCGTTTTTCAGGAGTTCCTTTGCTTGTCACAGTAGTTGTATTCAGGCAGTACAGAACTACAGCTGGGAACCATTTCTTCGACCGCTGTAGCCTTTTCACCAGATGAGTGTGCACTAAGACAAGCGTCACCTTTCGAGAAATAAACATCACGTGTTACCTTACGGCGTTTCAGTGCGGCTATTGACTCTCAGAGAAAGGCACTCATCGACACAGAACATAACACCAATACATGTAGGCAGCATATTTAAAGGGGGGGACTTCGCATTGCTAGGAAGCGACGCGCTAAGCAAAGTTGGGCAGTGACACGTTCTGAATGTGAGAAACGAGAACTTTAGCCATGATACGTGTCGGCTGGTAAAGTTTCACCTTAAACACTAGCGCTCGTTTCTCCCCTGGCGGAAAGATTTGCGGATATACATTTCCTTCCCTTCAGGTGCCGGTAGGGTCGCGCGCTTTCCCAGTATCTTACTCTGCTCGCGAAACGTCTCGCGTTTGTGATTGCGCCCCTACAGAAGGATGGCAAGTTTGTTGCACTGTGATGCCATACCACAAATCTGAATGAACGCGAAGGTGTTAATGTCAGCAGTAGGAGTACCAGCGAATCGCATCAGATTGCGCAGAAGACACAACCGAAAGGCACGGATGGCGCACAGTACAGCGTAAGTTAACTCGTGTTGCATGCGCTGGCAGCGCTTGTCGGAGTTTACGCATTCTAGAAATTGATTATGGTGCACTATGCTCTGAACAAGGCCGGGGTTCATTTCTTCATCAATAGCGAACCAGTCACTCGAATTTTGGTGTGAAACGAGGCTGCTCCTGTTCGCGCCGACGTAAGTGCTGGAAACATGAATGCACGTACTGTATACGTGGCACATCTACGCAGCGCGGTGCAATATTTTGTACAGTTCTGACTCCGGGTGTGTTCCAATACTCACCGTAGACGGCTAAATAGACAGCTAAATGGACGGCGGTCCATCTAAAGTCTCATTTCAATTCTCACGTAGCCCGCAAAATAGACAGCTCCGGGAAGACCGCGTCGTTGACAAATACGATGCAGGCTACTTTGCTGTATAAACAAAATGGCGGCTCAGTGAATCGCTCAGACAGATCAAATCTCGCCGGAATGTTCATCTGCACACAAACAGACGCTTTCCCAGACGCTCAGTGTGAGTAACGTTTATTTGTTTTTCCTTTCAACACGAAATCTGCTGAAAAATACAACTGTTGCGTTTGTTTATTTAGCTTTTTCCTCTCGACGCGATGTGGTGCATCGTCGCGTAAAAGCCGTCCAGAAGTGTTCCGATTCTCGAACAGCATGGGCTCGGCGCTGTCTTCTAAGTAGTCTGCGTAGACTGTCCACGTGCTGTCTAAAAATCGGAACACAGGCTCTGTAGACATAAAAGGTAATCACGGCTACACGCCTGCAAACAACGGAAGACACCTGCCGCAACGCTACCGTTTCTGGTAGCAGAGCGCCGAAATCTTAAAAAAAACGATCAAGTTATGCATGTTCGCGCGTATTTACGTGTTCTAGCGCTATACGCAGCAGACAAGCTATTTTTACGTGTGTAGGTGCAGTGTGGTCCCAGGTGAATTTTCGATTGAGAACAGCTGAACATTTCTCACCAATGATTACTTTGCCGTTGCACAATGCACGATGAAACCTCTGCGATTGGAGTACGTCAATGCTATCAAAAGCCACTGTGCAACTGTTATGTCAACCAAGGTTGCGAAACGATCAGCCCAAAAAATAACGCGTGCGAAGTCATATTGCAAACGTGCAGCATAACTCACGAAAATACTTAATACGCATTACTTAATGCGTGCGTATCGGAAGCATGTTTGGATGCACGCAGTAAAGTAGAAAGGAATGTTGACTAAAACTGTTACTGCGTCAGGGCTGCTTGACATGTAGAGCGTGAAATAAAAATCATTCCCATAGGCATGCAGTCCCAAACATCAACACTGGAAAATTATTTGCTCAGAAAAGTAAGCGAA